GGAGAATGGATTAAGTGTGTTTGAACTCTAAAACAAAAAGCAACTATTCATAACCCAGGGCCACAATCCCTTACCGGACACCCATGGGGAGAAATGTATTTCAGAATTCAGAATTTTTCCAGATTTTAGAAGGGTGAGCTGGCATATTTATATTATATAACACTCTCAATAGGCTTGGAGCTGTATCCCCAATCAAACACACTGATATTTCTTCAGCTAAATGTACAGATATGCACACCACGTGGGAAAAGTAAAGATTATAAATAGCTTCATGCACAGAAAATTGGGTTTTGCCACCTGATAGTTTCAGGTCAGATTTTTGTAGCCAAATAAATTATGAAAAAACTAGTTTTCAGCTTTTTCTGATTTTGGAATTGCAGATAAGGGACTGAAAACTTGGGCAGACACTGAAAACACACGAAGTCAAATCTTAAAAGACCAAGTCATTACCCAAGAAGATCAGGTTTCTGTAATTCTCCAGCATAACATCTCTGTAGAGGTACTTTTGGGCCGAGTCAAGGTTTTCCCACTCCTCTCTGGTGAAGAACATAGCCACATCCTCAAATGACAGCAACTCCTGAAAAAATAGTGATTAACGATAACTTCAATTCTTACAATAACTGTGTGGGTTATTATTATTCTACAGGTGAGGAAACTGAGATTTGATGAAGTAAAGTGACTTGGCCAAGGTCATTCAGTAAATAGGGGATTTAGGGCTCAACTCAGGTCTTCTGACACTCAGGCCAGGCATGTTCTTCTGTACCATGGGATGATAAATATTTTAGGTTTTGCAGGACAGTTGATCTTTGCTGCAACTATTCAACTCTGCTGTTACAGGGCAAAAGCAGCCATAGATAATAGACAAATGAGTGAGTGTGGCTGTCTTCCAATAAAACTTTTCCAACAGATCCAGGCCAGTATGTCAACCCCTGCTCTATAATAACAGACAAATAATAAGGTCGCTAGGTGGCGCAAATGGTTTGCACTTGACTTCTAACCGAAAGGCTGGTGGTTTGAACCCATCCAGTGGTACCATGGAAAAAAAGCCCTGGAGATCTTCTTCCGTAAAGATTATTGCCAAGAAAATCCTATGGAGCAGTGCTACTCTGTAACACGTGTTCTCCATGAGTTGGAATCGACTCAATGGCAACTAACAAGAATATACTTCTGCACCCAGCCGATTCCTACTGGTTGGTCATGACAACTACATTAGATATATGGGGGATGGGGAAATGGATTGAGAGTGACAAAATCTGCAATTGGAGGGGCTTAGGTTGCATGTATTAATTAGGTTACCCTTAAGAAAGAGATGGAGTGCTCAAATGAGGTAACTGAGGATAGGTTAATATGCAGATTATTTACAAATGACTGGATGGGCTTAATGGTGCTCACAGGAGCTATGGTGAAGCAAGCAGGGGCTGGCTATCAGCCTTGGGCTGTTGATCTTGATTCTCTCCTCCCCCTGGTGAAGTTAGAGAAGGTCAAATGCCACTGCCACACCATTTTTACAGTTGATGTATTCGTTGCAATAGCTCCAGACTTATGGAAGCGCGCAGGACTTAGGAAGAGGAAGAATGAAGGGGCGTGGAAAAGTGAAACTTACGATTCTTACATGGTTACTTTGGTTGTTGTTATCTATAATGGCTGAAAGGAAAGTAAGAGATGTTATGCAGCAGCTGAGGGAAGAAAAGCTGTATCTGGAGTGGCCTGGGGCAAAAGCTAGGCTCTTTAAGCAAAATGGTTGATAGGGGGCCAGGGTCTTCTGCTTCCACCCAGCCAGGGGCCCAAGGCCATATGCACGTGAAGGGGAGGAGAGTCAAGATGTGCAGAAAAGAAGATGAAACTGGAATGTTTTAAAAAGGGTTATGTTTACCTGAATGTACTATGGATATTGAATGTTTCTCCTACCTAGTGTTGTAAAACAGACCTAAATGTATGAGGGAATGAATACTGGGTATTATAGGTAACAGAGCACTTGTAACTCTGCCTTCAGCCGAAACTTGATTGGATATGCTGAAAGGGGAACTAGGGTTTGCCTAAAAGAAACACAGGCTCCTGGTCTGAATGGAGTAGCCCTGTGTAAGAGTATTGGGGGTTTAAGTAGAAAACCTGAGCCCCACCCAGGAAATCTGCATTTGAAAAGACATGCAGGTCCACTCGGAACTGCTGGGAGAGCAGGAAATTTGCAATTGAAGGAAGGACCTGCAGGAAAAAAATAACTGTTTTGCTTTTTAAATTTCAAGCAAGCAGTTTGCCTTTGGGTGCACTGAGGCAGGAAAAGTCAGTGTCCATCAGAAGAACCTCCTTCTAGGACTGGAAGTTAAAGGGAGCCGGCAACCACCTGGGTCCACTCCATGAGTGCAAGTGGGGGAGGTGCAGCAGTGAAGAGGCAGGCTGAGTTTGGACGTTCCACTGACACCCACTCACGTGGCCCACAGTGGCTAGGAATGACAGAGAGAAGGGGTGGTCTGAAGTGCAGGGAGTTGTGTGGACTCATGTGCCTGTGGTGGTGCGTGCTGACCTAGGCCATGGGGGCTAGAGATGGGAGAAAGAGAAAGAAGGGGCTGGTTGGTCTAAAGTGCCAGGAGGTGTAGACTCCCAAGCCTATGGCTGGTACCCACTGACCTAGCCCATGGGGGCTAGGGATGAGCTGACCAGAACCTGACCAAATGAAGGGAGAGAGAGAGATGTTTGACACCATAAGCTGATATAAATTGCTACAATTTGAAGGCTTGCTCTGGACTGGACTTTCCTTATGGATGCAAATGCTCAAAGTTCCAACTGCAACAAAAGATTCTTTAGACCAAGGAACATACTTGTTTCTTCAGAGTACTGGTTTGAGGGACAGGCGATTTAAACATTGTCTATCTAAAACAGGGGGAGATAAAGGTATGAAGTGTCTGGCTTACACACTTTCGTGAGTGTGCTTACAGTATATGAAGGGGACAAGGGAGGATCTCCACTGAATAGATTCCTCTCTTCCTGATGGGTCTGAGGAAGAGAGGGTTGGGAAGATGCTGATAGGATTATATGATTCAGTTGTGAGTGCTGATTATTAACAGGGTTAATTGTGATTGTAAAAACTAACTGTAGGAGCAGTAACAGTGAAATTGTGGACTAAGGGGGAGGCACTGCTGGACTGGAGTACAGTGGCCCAAACTAAAGTCCCTTAAAGGTTTTGCTATGTTGATACTTAGAGAGAGTCTCAGAGCAAGGGAATAATCATCTCTCAGTTAAATTTTATCAGAAGCCAGAGAGGGTGAAGCTGAGACTTGGAAAACCTGACCAGAACAGATGGATACCTGCAGCAGACCTGCAAAGGTGATACCTGAGTAACCTCACCCTGAAAACGCTTTACCCTACTGAAGGGCTAGTTGTTAATGACTGTTTTGGACTGGTAAAATGCTTGGGAGGAGGAAGTTATCCTCCAAGTATGAAAGAATCATAGCTAGAAAAGCCAGGGAGTAGCCTTCGGTGCAATGGATCGCTTTTAAATGGCCTTTCTTGACGTGGTCTTGTAATTCCCACCAAATGACTGGGTGGGTCTATGGAAATAAATTGCTAGTGGCCCATTAAGGGGGTTGGACAGCTTGCTGCTAATGCAAATAAGGTGCATAGAACACTTTTGGGGGTAGGACCATGCAAATATGGTGTACAGAACCCTAACGAGGAGATTGGTCAGTTTTGCCATCTCCCTAGGCTTAAAATGAGCCATCCCAGAGGCGGAAACGGGGGACCTGACTACCACCAAGAAGAAGAGCTAGGAGTGAAGCGCGTCCTTTGGACCTGAGATTCCTGCGCTGAGAACTTCCGAGACTCAGGAGACAGAGAAAGAGAGCAGTTAACACCAGAGATGGCAAGAGACAACAAGAAGCAGTAGCAAAGAAACAGTGCCAGCAGAGGCAGCAGAACCAGGAGACGGCACTGTGGGCTACCTGGCCCACGGAACAAGGTGGTTACCGTGGGTGTGCCAAACTCAAGGAGCAGAGCGCTTTCGGGCAGGACGCTTCCTGGCGGAGTGGGGCGCCTCACTGACCCATGGAGCGAGAGAGCTGAGCGAGTTCAGGCCGAGGTTTACTGGTAGAGTGTGGTGCCTCCATGTACTTTCATCGGTGGAGCTGAAAGAGCTTTGTAATTTTGTAACACTTTCCAGAGCAGAGCAGAGGCCAGACAGGCCCAAGAGGCCCAAGGGGCCAAGGGTCAAAGAGGCCTGCCTATGGCATTGCTAAAAAGAGTCTGTCCTGATCAAAGAACTGTATCCTGAGCATTCCTGAACCTGAACTGTAACCTCTTACTTCCCTAATAAACCCCACAACTGTGAGTATGGTCTGTGAGTCGTGTGGCTACTGCAATGAATTATTGAACCCAGCAGAGAAGTAGAGAGTGCCATGGGAGGGACGGCTGGTGTCAAAATTGGTAAAAAGGTTGGAGAGAGAAGTGTGTCTGACCTCCTCCTCATAGGAATCAGTCTTGGGCTGTTGATCTTGATTCTCTCTCCTCCTCCTCCTGAAGTTAGAGGAGGTGAGTTGCCACCGCCACACCATTTTTACACGTGGGGAACCTCACACATTAGGTCTGAAGGGGTAAGGTAGGAGAGGTGTTACTGAAATCCAGAAAGTTGTTGGAGGGTGCAAGATTGCAGCTAGGGTCTTAAATATCCAGCTATGCCACTGCTATCCTGCAGCCTAGCAGGGAGGGAGCTGTGTGAATAAACACCCGACCTCTCAGTTTCCTCCAGCCCTCTGGTCCTCTCTCTGTCCCGACTCTATCCCATTGTCAGAGGCCAACCAGAACCCAGAGGGCAAGGGAGCCTTTTATGGTGAATAAAAGGGTCAGCACCCCAGGGTACAGACCAAAGTAGGGAAGGGTGGAGGGTGTAGCCAGAAGGGGCAAACTGAGACGATTCAGTATGATGTGCAAGGTAGAAGTTTACATTTGCCTTTGGGTGTTCACCTCATGTAGGCTGAGATAGGAAAGTGCCTCCCTCCTATGCTGTTGTAGCCCATGCAGCAGAGGCCTCGTGTCTGTCCACCACACTCATCTCTCTTTCAATTCATTGTGTGGGTTCAGAGGGTATTTGTATGAGAAAGTCCAAAAATTCTCTATCATTTAACTAATCTGTAATAAGAAATACCCACCCCTATCCAAAGAAGCTTCAAGTAGCTCCCCTCTAGAGACAGAAACCAAACTCTCCCTAACTTTACAACCTTTCTTTCCCCCATATCAAACCTGTTTCAAACCCTCCCTCCCCACCATCCTGAATGTCCCTTCCTTTATCGGAACTGCCTTACAATCGCCTTAACCTGACCTGTTCAAACACGTGCAGTCCCTTGCGCCTACATGGAGGTTAACAAGCTGAGAGGACATAATCAAAATCCCCACTGTCACTTCTCTGCCACTTCTGTTCTGACACCAGCTGCACAAGCAGCACTTTTCCCTCTGACCCTAACCACCTGGGGCTAGGTCAGATCTCACAAGTTAGAGGACACAGTCCACCAGACTGCCAAGTCAGCCCAAGGCCTCAGACGCTAGCCACAAGCGTGGGAGTCCAGAAGACACCCTCACTTCTGAACTGAC